TCTTCGATAATCTCATCACCTTGTAGTTGTGTTTCCCTTCCACCGATTACCAGAAAGGGACGACATCTTCCCTTGGGGCTACGGGCCACTATTACTTTTCATGAAAAATTGCCTCTTCCTTCCCTAGGCTCCTGGGACAGCAGCCTCTCCCTCCACCTTCCCTCCCCCGAGCTATTAAAGTCTACCATTTCCTCTGAAATCTAGTCCCAGATCTGAAAGGAACAAGCGATCGGAAAAGAAAATCTGGAATGAGAGTGTGGCTTTTACTTTCTTAATACTTTGTTATTTTTGTTCCGTCCTCCCCCGCCCCCAGCCTGCATTCTTTTTACGAGAAAAAAATACTATAAAGTTATTTCCATTTTAGAAAAAAATGAGTGGAAGCTGGAGAATGATGTTGGGTGATGGCCTCCAAAAGTCCCACATTTTCTCACTTGGTGGAGAGTGTTACACACTTCACTCAAAGCAATCTTAATGTCTTCTGGGGCCTAGCACACAGCACAGCCCTGAATGAGCTAATCAGTGTGTCTGGCAATATGTAAATCCTCTGACTAGACCAGTCTTCTAAATAGGAGAGCTACAGACTTTCACCTGCACCCATTAGCAAGGTGGAGGCATTGAAGCCACAAAAGCCAGAACGCAGAAAAAAAAAAAAAAAAAAAAAAACCTGAGGAGAAAACATAAGTGCACAGTAGGTATCTGTGAGATAAAGCATGCACACTGAAAAAATGAGTGTGCATAAAAAGAACATTACAAAATATACTTGGTCAAAATAGATAGTATCATCTATAAACGAAATAAGTATTAGAGGAACACAGACCAAGACAAAATTGGCTGAAACTGGAAACTAGCAATTAGTATGAAACTATTTCACTCACTGGTTTGATAAGCTGAATAATTCACCCATCATCAATGATTTAACTTTTTTAAAGTAGGAAAAGGAATAAAATAATTACATCCCCTCATTATTTAAGTTAACCAGATTTGATTTCAGTGGCTTGCAACTAAACAATCTTAACTAAAGCACAATACAAAAACAGGTAACAATACAAAAAGTAATATAGCTTTTCAGAACATAGGGTCTTCAGTGAGATATTCCTTAATAGTTTGAATAAAAGGTTATTATTTGAGTATAACTTTTAAAATACCCAGACAATATGGGAGTAAATCAAGAGACTGAGGAGGTTGAGAACAGGCAAACCCCCAGGAAAATTCATATCTATGTAACTTCTGGGAGGCAGTACTAGAATGTGATTGAAATTTATTTAGTAAACAGAAACCAAATCAACTGTATGATCCTGTGTTTAGAGAAAGATCATGTGTAGCAAAGGGGCTCATTCAAGCATAGGAACATATGAAAAGGACAGTCAGAAGAAAGTGTTGGTATTTCTCACCCAAGCACTGTCTGGAGGAGAAAAAGTGTTGGCTAAGGAGAATGGAACATTTCACTTTCTCTGGCAGAGTCATGCCCATGATGTGTAATAGTACTTCATGCTTCCTCAGCTGAAACTCCCTTCTTAAGATGAACAAATACCCTCGCTTTGATTGCAGGCTCACCAAACAACCTTCGAAGGTTGTGTTTTCCGAAGTAGTAGCTTGTCTACAGGGAAAGAATGAGCAGGTAAGACTGACTGAAACCTCCAGTACCCCCTGACAGTTGTATTTCTCAGGGCAAATTATTCAGTTGTCACTCCTGTTGAAACAGCCTCCCTTGTGGTCTACTTATGGGGAGAGAATGCAGAGATCCCTAGGTTTGAGCATTCAGATCGATTTATATATAAGTCTCTATGAATGGGAGACTTTCCTTGAGGCATCCAGAGGCAACTCTTCTCAGCATACAAACAAAATCAGGATTTGGTCATGCAATACTGAGGAAGAGACCCTGAACTACAGACGCAACCTTGTGGGAATCCTGTGGGAGAAGCCAAGTGGCCTTGGCTCAAAGGACAACCTTGTGCATCACCATTTCATAACCATACCTTTCTAATGTTTAGTTAATGGTGGAAATTACAACTAAGATACTCTGTGGCATATTATGCCCCCAGCACTTCCATTATAGATAAACAAAGGGTTAATTTCCAAAGTGGTTAAAGGGCTCCTGCAAATCAACAACAACATCTGAAACAGTTTAAATTTCTCCCTGGGAAAAGAAAGGAAATGCATTTTACATTTTACATACCCTATTGTTTTCCTCAGCAAAAGGGTGGGTATTGTGCCCAAAACAGACCAACCAAAAGCTGTCTTACTAAAATTTCAATCTTCATCAGAGAAATAAAAACCTGAAAACCGGTGGACTTGTGACATCCTGAAAAGACATCTATCAATTTCTCCTACCTAAACCCCTCAGAAATGAGCTTGGTCTTCAACATTTCCTCCTTAAGCTAACCAGGCTTGTTCTATGTCGCTTGCAACCAAACAACCTTAAGTAAGACACAATACCAAAATTACACAATACAAAAAGTAGTATCTTTTCAAGATAACGTCCTTCTATAATTTATTTTTTTCACCCTCCGCAATTCCATTAGTGTCACCATTTGCTGATCTTTTTTTTGTTTCTGGGTACTTTATAAGTTACATATCACACGTGAACTGATTTAAGCCAAAAGTTAGTGTTTTAGCAGTGGTTTCACAGTAGTTTTTTGCGGGCTGAGGAACTTTTAACAGTCCTGTCTGAGGACTTCTTTAAGCATTTTCCTTTCTCACTTTTGAATGGTATGTGAGCCTTATAACATGTCCTTAAGTAAATATTTGTTGGTAGATGTATAATGGAGAGAAAAGTAGTTTTTTCTTTGTTTGTTTGTTTGTTTTTAATGCTAGTCTCCAGGTAGGAATTGGTAGAATCTTGGATCAGAAGAACAAAGAGGTAAGAGAATCAAAAGGGTTTTTATAACCATGGGATTTTAGGAAGTTTTAGACAGGGAGTGGATTCAAACCAGGAAAGGTCTGGCATACTGGGAGAATGGTAGTGAGAAGTTATACATTGGACTAACTGGAGAATATACCAAAAGGGTGGAGATAGGTTATACTAGTGAGGAGAGGGTAGGAGTAAAGTTTTTGTCCTTGAAGCCTAACTAAGTGTTGTGAAAGTAAGTTCTTATTGTAAAGCCATGTCTGTGACACCAAGTCATCTGTCTTTATTAAGCTTTACATACTCCTTAGTTTTTTTAATGTACATATTCAAAACAAACAAAAGCCACTTATACAACTACTTAGCAGCCAAACACTGAATGATGGACTGCTGAATCTGAGAATTCTGTTAGTAAACCTTCATAAGTATAATTCACTTGTCTAGGGGAAGTAAATAAAGGGTCATGAAAAAAAAAAAAACAAATGAGGTAAAGATTTAGAAAGATAAGATGTGATATTGGTGAGTTTGGACTATAAAAGGGGAAGACCAGAAAGTTGTGACATATTGACTTCTGAATATTCACCAGCAAGGCACTAGGACTCCCTGGCTTGCCTCCTGAAAGGGCCTCCTCCACACAGGGGCCCCTCACTGGGGAGCCCCTCCCTCTGAGGTGTCATATTTCAATGTTCTAAGAGGTTGCCTGGAGTGTCTATATTTAGAGTATGACTCCTCAGCAGGGACAGGTGGATGCTTGAGAACTAACTTCTGCATACTTGGTCCCTGAGTTTTGGGATTATTCTGAGGGGCTTGTACTGGTGGCTCAGTGAAATTGTAACAGAAGGCAGGAAGCGTAAAGCCCTCTTTTTTCTGGCAACTGCTTGAGATCCTGTGCATTGCCCTTCCACTTGTGAGGGAAAAAAATGACACAGACATGAGGGGTGTTGCAGTGATTCACAGTCACCCACAGACCCTCACCACCATCTCCACTGGAAAATGCTGAACACTCACCACTGCTAGGGTAGCATACAATACATGAATGGCAGACAGCAGCGAGATCACCAACAGTGTCATGATGGAAAGAAAATTACCTCAAGTCTCATTTTCATCAATAGGATAACAAGAAATTATCTAATTTCTGGATGATTTATGGGTTGCACCACAAACTTCAGAATAGATTTTAAATAAAGCCCTGTGAATTAAAGGCAGGCTAATCTGTGGAGTCACTAATCTGTAAAGTTCATCTGAAGATGTAAGATTCCTCTGAAGTTGGGGTTTGCAAAAAAATCTGTCTTTTGAAGCCAGAGTGAAAGTCACCCAGCAATCTTCTATGAAGATGTCAGTCATATTACACCTAATACTATGAGTTCATCCAGGAGAAGGAAAGGGACAATAGTTCACATACTTAAAATGGTCAAAATTAGAACACTGACCTTCTCAGTATAGATTCATTTGTCCATCAATTTATAAATCCTGTTGAAAGCACAACTGGTTTTGTTTGTAAGGGTATGTTTTTAATATGTTGTTTGAAAGCTGCTATTTCCTGTGCAGTCAGAAGAAAATATTTTCAACTTAACACAAACTAACTTCACCAAATCAATGAGGCCTCCCTCTTAACTGGGAAATCTTGCTTATGTTATATAAATTTTTGTGTAAAAAAAAAAAAAAAAAAAAAAAGGTTTGATTTATTTCTTCTCCAAGTGGGAAAAGCTTTATTTTTTTTTTCCGATTACAAAATAGTGTAGTTCAAGTCAATAAAAAAGAAAGGACAAAATATAACTTAAATGTTATTAAAATACTAATTAAAATCTCACCACTGCCTGGACTTCCGTTTCTGCCCCTTCCCCCAATGTTGATGCAGACAGAGACTGAACATGGAAAAGGGTAGAAATTTAAGAAAGGGGCTGCAGGAGTTCCAGAGCCAAGGAAAGGATGAGACAATTCCCCAAGAAGTGTAAGTGAAGGGTAGACCCAGGAAAAGATGCTGCCCCTTCCTGGAATTAGAGAAACACAAATTGAAACACCAGAAAGACAGAGCCATTTCTGGTTTCTGGTATTGTTACAGAGGAAAAAAGTGACAGGGCCCACTGTGGGGGTTGAGGGGGAGATGCAAGGCAGGCTGGCGCCTGCCGCACTGCTTGTGGGAGTGGAAATTGGGGGCCAGAGCGCACTGGTGACGTGGCTGTCACGTGACCAAGAGCCGCCTAGAGCACAAGTCCTGCTAGTCGCCTCCGTCTGGGTACCAGCCCCCTATTACTCTGCAGGCGTGTGAAGAAAGAAGGAAACTAGCTCGGACTGTGCAGGTCGGTGCGAGGATGGGCGCTGCTTCAGAGGAGGTATGGGTGGAAGAGGGCCAAGAACGCCACAGATCCGAGTTCAGGCCGATCACAGCTGGGTCCTTTCTCGCCTACTTTCTAAATACTGCCACCAACCCCCACCCCACCCCGTGCTCATTTTAGCAGAGAGAAGTGGCGGGTTTCGGGTAGGGGTGAGGGGGAGTGAATGGCGTTTCCAGAGATTCCGAGAAAAGAAAGGTTCCAGTGTCCCGGGTGCTGGTCCGTCCACCAAGCACTCCGTCCCCTCGGTCCCTTGTCTGTTTGCAGGTTTGTAGGTCTGTTGGCCTGTAGGTTTCGGCACAAGTCTCAGCGAGAGAAGGAGAAACTGCCTTGGTTGGAACCTTGCAGGTCAGTGTGAAGGTGGGATTAGCCCAGGACCACGGGTGGGGGTGGCGGAGGAGGGGGGCTGGGATATGAGAGGGCCGGGTCCGAGTCGCCCTCTCCTGGCCCCTTCTTTCTCCACACCCCCTCCCATTTCAGTGCAGGGAAAGGGGTGTGGCGGCCTTTGCTGGGGAAATGGCGGACGACAAGTGGGGCGGGGGAGGCCTGCGTCGGGAAAGTCAGTAGAGTATGAGAAATCTTTTAAACTCAAGTGCCTAAAATTCACAAAAGCAGAAATTGGGACATGTGTCCTCAGTCCATCCACTATACTTTCATTTCTCCATTTCCGCCTACCTGTCTTTGCATTTGCCCTTCTGCCAGACTCTATCCTCTATCACTGTGGAGGGACCACTGACAACAGAAGACAAGGGAAAACCAAGGAATTTACCTGACTTTGGTAGAGGTTAGTGAGAGAAACTGCCCTTAATCTTTGGAAGTGGAGGTCTGGTGAAGGAGACTACCTGAGAGGTACTCACACTGTCACCCTCCTAGCTATCATAGCACAGACCCGTCTCCTGCCCTTCCCTGTGTGGACCCAGAAAGAGAAATGGGGGCTCCTGAGGTCCATAGAGGAAGACAGAAAAGAACAAAGAAATTATATCCTGTTAATCTGCCTTTCTCACCAACTCAAAATCCACCCTATCTGTGAGGCACAAAGCCAAACATAGTCCCGAGCCCTAATATTCTGTTTCACCCATAGATTCATCACAAGAGAGCTACAAGAGCCTAGAAGAAGCTAAAGACGGCTACCCTCCATCCTTACTCACCCTGGACCTGAGAGACCTCTTCAATCAGGTGGAGCAAGGCCCTCTCCTGTCCTGCCCCAAGGCTGGCACGGACTTGAGCATGGGCCGGGCTCGGGAAGTGGGTTGGATGGCGGCAGGACTGATGATTGGGGCTGGTGCCTGCTACTGCGTTTACAAACTGACCATAGGAAGAGATGACAGTGAGAAGCTGGAGGAGGAGGAGGAAGAGGAGTGGGACGATGACCAGGAGCTGGATGAGGAGGAGCCTGATATTTGGTTTGATTTTGAAACTATGGCTCGGCCCTGGAGTGAGGATGGGGATTGGACTGAACCTGGGGCCCCAGGTGGCACTGAGGACAGGCCCTCAGGGGGAGGCAAGGCCAACCGAGCACACCCAATAAAACAGCGGCCATTCCCCTATGAACATAAAAATACTTGGAGTGCTCAAAATTGTAAAAATGGCAGTTGTGTTCTGGACCTCTCCAAGTGTCTTTTCATTCAGGGAAAACTCCATGAACATAAAATACTTGAGTGCTCAAAATTGTAAAAATGGCAGTTGTGTTCTGACCTCCAAGTGTCTTTCATTCAGGGAAAACTGTTGTTTGCTGAGCCCAAGGATGCGGGCTTTCCATTTAGCCAGGCTATCAATAGCCATTTGGCCAGTTCTCAAATGGTTAGAAACATTTTGGCCTCAAAGCCAATTGCACTCCCACTGTTAGAGAGAGGCTTTGTGTGCCACGGATAACTTAAATGCCAGCATTGAGCGAGGTCAGATTAAGATGTGCCATCAATGAAGTGTGTCAGGAGATCAGTCACGTTGCAGCAACTCATTTCTGCAGCAGGCCGGATTAAATTTGTTAATAAGCATGACAGTTATTAATAACATGCTTGCCAAGTCCTGCTTCAGACTTGAAGTTTCCTTTGATATCAGAGGAAAGTGGATATGCTAAGGTTCAGGTTTTGGAAACCACTGATGGGTTTGGTCTGAAAAGCCAGTCTTGGCGGGGAGTTAGTCGGGTGCCCAGATGCTCTTCTCATTCATGTCCTCTTTATCAGAAAAGGAAACAGAGAGATTCTCCCGAAACCCTGCCCCATAAACGCCTCTCTGAACACAATGGACGGAATCCACCCAATAACGCTGGCTTGGTTTGCAGATGTCAAAGAATCTGCAGAGGGTGCTACCGAAGATCCCAGCCTTAGCCAATCACCACCTCATTGGGTGAAAGTTCCAGGGCTCAATCCACTGCCACTCTTATTACAGGCAGGGGCTCCCACAGAGCTTTGAGTAACTTGTTGGTTGTGCAGTCTGCAATGTTGGGCACTGTAAATTCCTCCCTTGCAGCCTCCATGTGTGAGGGATCACTTCAGCTGCCTGCTGTGGACAAAGAACATCAAATTACAGCTATTGTTGCCTGTGGTGGTCTCCCTGTCCAAGCAGGACCGCTTTGCAGAGACCAGACGCATATCGCAGCTTGAGCTGAAAATGCATTTGTTGCAGCTTAGGTTGAATTATTTTTCGCTTACTTTCTTCTACACGCGCCTGATGGATAGTGAACCTATTCATCAAAAAGTGCACTGCTCTTCTGTCTATTGTACTGACTTAACCCCTTCCACCCAAGTCCGCATCTGTGTGTATCACGTACAAAGCTTGGATTGGCAGAAAAGAGTCATGGTCCTGTCCTTGAGTTTACAGTCTGCACTTCGAGAGAAGGACAAAAAAGCACTTATAAACGCCAGCTGACTGGGACTTCTGTTCCCCTGGACAAATGCCGGCTTATCTGTGCTCACAGGAGGTAGGATAGAGAGGTTGCAGTGTTTCAGAATAAATCTCTGGCATAAGCAAGGGGGTGGGAGGAAGGGAGGGGCACAAAGTGGGGAGTTCTGTGGAATTAGGGATGGAATGTTGAGAGGACTGGAAAGAGACAACACCTGTGGAGCAGGCAGCACCGTGCCCGCACAGAGAAATCTCTTCAATGTCTTTTCCTTGACTGCCAGGCTGGAAAGAAAGGGGTCAGTAACCCCGGCCTCGCTTGTCTGGCATCCCGACGTGGGGATGGGGACCGTGGGAGTGGTGGGGGAGCTCTACCACGCATCGGCGTATTTATTGCACAAAGGTTGCCGCTTGCCCAGCACCTACCCTGTGTAGTTCTGTCCCTCCCATGGGCCACGGGGAAATCTGCTTCCAGCCCTCCTTCTCTGCCTTGGGATCCCCCGGCGCTACTTCCTGACAGAGTGAGAGGTTGGCTGCTGCTCCCTTTGGAAAGTAACCTCTTCCATATCCCCACTACCTTTGGTGGGACTCCTGAAGGGGACAGTGGAGCCTGCCATCAACTACCCGCGGGGGTGATAGGGCAAATGCTGAGGGCACTTGGCACGACTGAGGTCCATCGCATCCATCCGGAGACACCTCCACACTCTCCATCTGAGGTCCCTGCACTTTGCCAGGAAAGGAAGAGCCCGTGGGCACAAGACTCCATGGGTCAGGGCAGCTCGTTCTGCCCCTGACCCGCCCCCACCTCCAACATTACCACAGATCCTGCCCAGCAGGTTTAGCCTCTGAATCAGCAAAGCCAGGTTCCCATGTTTGTGTTGCAAAGCCAAGAAGTGGGTCCCCTTCCTAAAGCCATGGCAAACCCAGTAAACACATCTGCTTCCTTGGGCAAGGCTGCCGTGCCGGGAAATTCTCTCTCGGTCTCCAGGGCTGCTGTGGGTCACTGTGTCCCGCGCCGCCATCTCTATGGTGTTGGGCATTCGGCTTGTTCTCCCACACAGAACAAAGCTTTCTTTCTGTCTTATTCTCCCTTCCCCACGGAGTTTGGGTTCCAGGTGGGTTACAGCTTTCCTGCTTTGTACCATCTGCCCCACAACCTGTGTGCTGGCCAGAGGGCCTGAGTGCCTGCCAGGTCCCCTGACCAACTCTGGGAAACCCCTCCCACCTGGAATGGGGACTCAGGCCTCTTCCCAGGCTTTCTGGTGTCTGGGATGGCCAACAAACGACTTGGTAGTTATTGTGACACCACACCCCCCACTAAGGCTCACACTGCTGGGGCTTCCTTGGCTGGCTCTGGGAGCCCTGTCTCAGTTCCTAAGGGTTCCTAAGAGCTGTCAGAAGGACCACACCTTTCTCCCAAGCCATCCACAGTTTCTGCCGGCAATCTGATTTCCCAGGGATTTCTGGCAGACAGCTCCGCAACCACTTTTCCCAGTGGAGCCTGCTTCACCAACGGCTGTCTTCAGTGACACCTCATTGCTCAGTCTCTTGAGCACAAAGGCATCCTCCTAGCCTGTCCGGAATTACCATGCACGTCCCTACTTCCCCTGCATGCTACCAAATTTCCCTATGCACTTGTCCACCATCTCTGGAGGCACTTGACACAGCAGGCCGTGCTGGAGTCCTAACTCAGGGAGCGCCCCAGAGGCTTTCTGCCCATCTCCTGAGCAAACTCTGTTACAGAAAAGCCCATCAGCGTCCAAGGTCTCCACGGCATTGTCTTGGCCTGTCAAAAGTCCTCCTGTCCATTTGCTGGGCACTCTGCCCTCCCAAAGCACTCACGCACAGCCCTTCTGTCCTGCCCCCCTCATCCCCTGACTGGTTGCAGTGCCTGGCATGAGCCCAGTTCCCGTGGATTCTGCCTCCCCGGGATGCGTGCAGGGGAGTCAGGAGCATGCCTGCCTCCCAGGGCCTGATCAAGACACTGAGAGGTTCTCAGCACTGGCAAGAGCACCGTGCCCCATTCCATATGTAACGCAAACATAAAAACAGCCCCGAGCCATCAATCACAATACATACCTGCCTGCTGCAACCAAAGACAGTCTTTCTTCTGGGCTTCCCCGTGGCAAACATTGGGAAAGGTCATCAATCCTGAGCTTGCCACATTCTGTGGGGAGTGCTCTGCCTTGATGGTGCCACCCCAGCCTGAGCCTGTCTTCTTGTGTCAATCTGGAACTGATACGCCACGGCTGTCTTCCATCTCCGAAAGGGCCCCTGGGTTTTGCTTCTCATCTATCTCATGAGCTCGTTTCCATTTGGTGCCTGTAGGCACTGACTGACTTCCAGACCAACTTCAGGTGGTCTCTGGCCTGTGGCCTCCCTAGGGATTTGTGGCTTGCCACCCCACCCGCCCGCCCAGGTGAGTGCACACAAGGTTGCAGACATCCAGCTTCCCGGCAGGCGCGCGCCCTGTCTCAGACACTGGATCCTCACCGGGGTACTGTGCCACTCTCAAAGCAGTGTCCACTACAATCCCCTACTTTTTAAGTGCCACCCTGAACCAACATATTCTCACCCAGTCTGTCCTCGGATGATGCACCACTTGGCAAAGAGCGGGTGGCTGTGGCGAGGGGGTTGCTCTGCCTCTCTCTTCTGAGGGACACTGGCTGCCCATGATGCAGATGGGCACTATACCAGAGTCCAGCAGAGTGCTGTAAGAGGGCCGGCCTTTGGCGCCATCTGTTGTTAAAATGCCAGATGTGTCTTCTCACTGGGCTGCCACTTCCCCTACTTTCTGTGATCATGGCCTCCTTTCCATCCTGGAGGTCCATTTTCCCTTACTGCCTCTTGTTTTGGTGTGAAGTTTAGGACAGGCTTTCCACTCTCCCCATGAACAGCGCAGTCTCCTTGGCAGTTTTCTCGTTCTTTCACACCTTTCTATTCAGAGTTTTGTCTCATCGATCTGTCTGGAATTTACTTTTGTGCAAGGAGAGACAGTGATGACTTGACTTCTTCCTCATGATTACTGATGAGCCCAGCACCACTGGTTGAGCACTCCGTTCTAGTGCTGTCTGTGGCACGTTCTGGGATCCTCATGTGCCCAGCTGCGCACCCACTCTGTGGTTTCCAAGATTAAAGTTTTCCTGAGGTACATCCCTTTCCTCAGGAACCTCTTATTGACTTGGAGTCTCTCAGCTCACTAGGTGGCCTTACAGGTGGTGTGTGTGTGTGTGTGTGTGTGTGTGTGTGTTAGTGGGGAGAGCTGTGCTGGTGCTTGTAAGGTGCCTGCTCCAGTGTGTGTGTATGTTCTCAGACAGGAGCCCTGGGCCCACGGAAGCTTAGGAACTTCATCCTGCGGACTCTGCACCATGGCAAATCACACTGGTCTCTCTCTCCTCTCCCAACTTACTATATCTGTGCAAGACAAAAGTAATTCTCTTTTCTAAGTATAGACTGCTGTAATTGACCTGTATGGTAGTCATTAGCTACACTTGAAATGAGATCCTTATGACATGTTGCAACATTGCCAATGTTTTCACTCACCCCATCTCTTGATATCTTTGTATGTGTGATTTATTTCATCACTTAGAAATTGAGTTTTCTGCTTCTGTCAATATTTTTCTTTTTAGGACTTCTATATGTACTGTTTTCGGCTTCTTCTTTCCTCTCTTCCTTCCTTCCTTCCTTCCTTCCTTCCTCCCTTCCTTTTCTTTTTCTTTTCCATGATGTTTCTTCCTTCTCAAAGATAAGGAAAAAGCCTGCCTATTTCAGGAATGAAATTACAAACACAACATCTTTTTACAAAGCTAGCTTCCACTGTTAACCTAATAGTAGTGTGTGTGTGGTTCTGCCTGTCTGTACAGACAGTTTGAGGTAGATTTTCTATCTTAATTTTCTCTAAATATATTAATTATGCTAATGTTTATTGTAGAACACACTGTTTATGTTTTGATTGAAATTATATTAAACTTTTATGGATCAAATTGGCAAGGATTGGTAATCTTAGACCTTATCTATGTACAACTATTTAGACCTTTGTCACTTCTGTGATATTTTCTTTTTATAAAGATCATTCACATTTCTTTTTGGGGTTATTCCTAAGGATTTATCTGTTTTTCTATGTGGACACGATCTTTACCTTGTCCTATAATACTATGCTATTTTGACTCTGCTGTCCTCATCCTATGTGCCAGCACACAGGCCGTGTCTTTGGTTTACTGCTTTGAGAATAGCAATGAAAAAATTGACAGTCAAGTGCCTACCATTGCTACTCAAAGAGGAGGGAAGGAGGAATAAACAAAGCATTTGGACCTAGTGTTCTACAAATGTTCTTTTCCCCAGAAATCTTTCTAAAGACCTCTTTCCCTGCCTTCTGTTTTATTTTATGTTTTCTTCTCCCCACTCCCTGGCAGTGGAGTAGTCCAAACTAGTTCTTCTGGTTTATTCAATCATGTTTCTTTCGACCGCAAGGTCTTTTATTAAGTCTAGCCATCAGTATTCTATTGTTCTTTGTTCTCAACTAATAGCTGATATGGGATGACTCTTGAAGGAAGGAAAGCAACTGATGGCCTGGCTATCACCACCTGACTCATAGATAACCGTGTTAGTACAACCCCTTCTTGAATAAATATTTGCATCTCACAAAGACCAATTGTTAATGCATATCTCATATCCAGAGTTCTGTATTTTTAATTATCCAGTCCTTTTGAATTAACATAGATGAAGTTACTAACCTCCCCTCTCAGCTGAGGGAGGGGCATGGAGGTAAGGGAAGTGTTGGGAGATGTTATCACCAGCCTTCTCTCACAGCCTTTCTAGCCTTCCACTTGAGCTGTCCTGTGTTAGACTCAGCATTTTTTCAGCTTGTTCCTAAGTAAGGAAGGCGAAACTAACCCCAATACTCTAAATTTCCCAGTAATTTTATTCATTGTCATACCTGACACTCACTCACTCTCTAGGGTTTCAATTTGGAACTGATTTAACACCCCAGGACAGCGAGATTAGCTGTTTTTCCTTCATCTCTCCTCTCT